CTGTTTTTTTTCCATGCGTTTTACGTGTGCGAACCAGTGCCTTTTTCTTTGCCTACCCCATCTCACTACGTCCTGTATTCGACATTGTTATCTGATATTCGTGTTTCTAATTCTGTCTCTTCTAGTCTTCCCCATTATGGTTCGTAAGTTCTTCATTTCAGCGACTCTTAACATGCTTTTGTTCTTGTTTGTTTCGTCTCGTATTTCTATGCCATATGTCATTATTGATCTGATGCAGGTCTTATAAATTTTAATTTTGCTGCCTGTTCGCACGAAGGAGTTTATCCACACTATTTGCCTCGGACATCCTGACATGGCCGTTGCTCTGTTTATCTGGCTTCTTAGATCTTTCTCTGGATCATGGTAGTGCGACATATCTATTCCTACGTATCTGAACTCTGATACTTGCTCAATAATGTTGTTTTCTACTACCAGTTTGCATCTTATCGAAAGTTAGAGTACAAAAACATTTCAAATTTATAACTTCAGTCTAATAACTATTTAGTCATTTATGTTCAATTTATGACAATGATGACAGGTATTGATAATTTCAATTCCAAATATCTCCAGAACCATTACTCATAGCGATTTTAACCAAGAGACTTTTTGTACGTACAAAACGTCATAAATGTATATTTTTTTACTCAGTTGTTTTATACATGTACGGACGAAAAGTGATTAGTCATCAAACCAGTTAAAAAATATATAGGTGGCGCCCTCTGCAATTAGAAGACATATTGACATCAAAATCAAATTTCTCATGTCAAAAACACCAGTTTTCATCCAAATATTAATGTTGCTTCAGAAATTATTTGGAAAAAATTGAAATAAAAATGAAATTTCTACACCCTGTATCTCCGAAACGCACCATTTTAGGATATACATTTATACGAACTTTTTTACTTATTTTTATCTGCAGAATATGCTTCTGAAGTTTCCGGAATACAGTTGGGACCACCCTGTAGAATAAAAATTCAATGGAAAATAGAAGGGAAATAAAAAAAATCGGTAAAAAAACTTTTAAGTTAAACGGTTTTATCTTATGTGCACTGAAAACTAGAAAATAATAATAACAATTAGGTATTTTGAACTTCTAGTTCAGAAATATTTTAGTACTAGGCAGAATAGCTTTTAGGCATATTAGACTAAAATAAAAACGTGGGGCCCATTAACTATTGCTGTAGTACTTTCTTCTATACTAAGTGTGGATTGCATCGACTTACTATAATCGTAACTGGAGATTTTGACAATCAATAACCAGCCGTGGCGGCTTCACCAGCGAACGCCGAGCTCATGATCTACCAAAGTATAAAGATATGCTTTGCCATAGGTAGGATTTCAGAGGGGCCCTAACGTTTTATTTTAGTCTAATATGCCTAAAAGCTATTCTGCCTAGTACTAAAATATTTCTGAACTAGAAGTTCAAAATACCTAATTGTTATTATTATTTTCTAGTTTTCAGTGCACATAAGATAAAACCGTTTAACTTAAAAGTTTTTTTACCGATTTTTTGTTTTCTAGTTTTTAGTATTTAACGGAAATGCCTACCGAATATTCCTCATTCTATTTAATTCATTTAGTGCATCATTATTACATGGTTTTTTACCTGATAATTTATCCCCAGTGCCTGGCTTGATCTCTCTGTCTGTCGCGTTCTGATGCTAGCCTAGACTCATGACGCTCAGGTGTTTCTGACGCTAACAACTCTCTTTGTCTCTCTCGTTGTGATGCCAGCCTAGACTCATGACGCTCAGGTGTTTCTGCCGCTAACAACTCTCTCTGTCTGTCACGTTGTGATGCTAGCCTGGACTCATGACGCTCAGGTGTTTCTGACTCTACCAGCTGCCTTTGTCTCTCACGTTGTGCTATTAACCTGGCATCATGTTGCTCAGGTGTTTCTGTTGCTAACCGCCAAATATTGAGGGGAAAACGCTTGCGACATTACATTTTGAGCCACCCTAATGCCATACAGTCCTCAGCACGTTTTAACCTATTACATTAACTTGGGTGGGAAAGCTACCGCTAACTACGTAGGTACATCTAATCACCTTTTTTTTTATCTGTCCTTCTAACGTCACACAATCTTGGACACAACTGTTCTGGACACGAATACTCATGCCCTCACCTAATACGCCATTTTGTACCGGCGGCCATCTTAGATTTACAATGTTATTGATATTACTATATTGTATTGTCATCGGAACTAAAGGTGTGTACCAAATTTCAGATCAATCTGACAACAGGAAGGTACTTAAATTTCAATTTCTAATTTTGACCCAAATAAACAAACAAATAAATAAATACCGTACGGGTCGAGCTAAATAAAACCGTTTAAAAATAAAAAAATGTAACCTTCACCTAAGAATCACAACACGTCTGGTAGAAATAAACTAAAAAATAAAACTAACAAAAACCTACTATACCTAAAAAACTGCTGTTTCAACGCTGTATTATATTATTATCTAGATCAATTAATTTGAGTGTGGCGCGACTTAAATTGTTCGAAATAAGGCTTCGTTAAGTAAAATTAGATGTTATTAGTCACATTAAGGGCTAGTTTGTTAAACTAAATGACCCGAAAGTAATCAAAATTGCCTGCTTAGTATTCTATATAGGCTGGTTTAGAGTGTATTAGCTAAATTTGTTTTGTTCCAAACTCCTAAGTACAGCCAACAAAATATTCTCAGATTAAAGATAACTATGTTAACTATGTGTTAAGGAAAATATGTTTCGAAAATAAAGTTTACTATGTATCTATACAGGTTGATTCTAGGGTTTAGAGTAGTAGTGGGAACTATCGAATGAATACTATCGAAACATTCGATAGTTGCAATTCATTTGAATAATTCGATAGTTAGTAAGAAAACATTCGTTGAAAACTATTCGAATAAAAATTATCGAATAGATCCGTCATCTGCCTTGAAATATTGTATTCTAGTAATTCGGCAGCAAAAACCATTCATTTATAAAATTCATTCATTTATGAAATTCATTCATTCGTCAGGATCGATTATAATAAAATATTAACTGAATTTTAGTTGTCGCCCGGCGACGTAGGTTTCCAAACCCGACAGCGGTCGGTGGCAATGCTATGAAAGAAGCCGGCATCTTTGATTTTTTGCGGAGTCAGATATAGATAACGACACATTATTTTTTTTATTGAGGTGCTAGTATTTACACAGAAAATACATTATGAAGGGCGCTGTTGCCATATTTTGGTATTAGTTGATATTAGCAAAGAATATTATTGTTTGGCTTTAGTTAGTTAGGGATAGTATGTCTATATATTCTGAATTTTTTTTTATTAATATCCTGTTGTTACACTGCAATAATACTTGTTATTTTGGATGTAAGAAAATGATTTTTAATGTTTTTAAGCAAAGACTGGTTTAATAAATAATAATAACAGTAATAATTTGTTATACCTATTAACAACAAAATTTAAAATGATTTAATATAAATATTTTTTTTAAGTATTAGCAAAATATAAACAACAAATTAGATGTCAAAATTATTTATATTAGATCCTATTTAAAAATAATATAGTCTCTAAATTTTTTGGCAACGTTGGTTTATTGAATAATAATAATTACAGAACTAATTTGTTATATTAACAACAAATTTTAAAATCATGAAATATAAACATTTATTAATTTTCTAATCATGCAGTGTAATGGAACGAAAATATAAATAAAAAATTAGAAATCAAAATTATTTATATTAGGTGCTTTATATTACTATTTAAAAATTATATTTACTTTTACTGGCATTTACTTTAAAAAATAAATGAAATATTTCTTCGCAAAAACTACATGTAAGAGAATTAGCATAAACAAAATACAAACATCGTTAACTTTTTTTTTAAATTGGCACGTGTAAAACTTTCATTTTAATTTTCTCACCCCATAGTTTGAGTTCGATAACCATTTACTTAACCACATTACTTTAATATGATTATTAAGTTCAACTAATTCATATTATTAAAACATCTAAAATACAAATATGTACTTTTAAAATTAATTTAAGTTCATCTCATCTCTCTTAAAAATTGCTACTTCTCAAAATTTCCCATTAAAAAATAGACCATATACCATATAAAATTAAATAATTGAAAGATCGGACTACGGAAAACCACACAACTTTTCGGAAAAATTTTGACCACCTGCACATGCACACAATCGTCAATAAATAAAATTAAAAAATAACTACTATTTTAGTATTTTAACTATTTTAATAAACGCAAAAATAGCACAGTATTTATACGGCGAAGTTATAAAAATTTGGAAGAACTAATAATGCACTGACGCATACAAAAATCAAACGAATACTAAATTTCATTTATCAAAAGCATTCGATAGTCGTGGCTCAATGATAACCATTTAGTCGCACGGCGAGGTTGTCACATATGCTATAGCATACAAATGAATGACTGATTTTATTCGAATAAAACCATTCGATAGTTGAAGTCATTCATTCATTAACCATTCGATAGTCTAATTCATTCGATAGTTCCCATCGCTAGTTTAGAGGTTCGATAAGAAGGGATTTTTCGAAATTCCAATTTCAAGAGGGTGAAACCACCCCTCAAATATTACAATATTTTTTATTTAAAAAACGGTCAAGTTTCCGAAAAAAAAACACCTAAACACGTATATTTTATTTTGATTTTTACATATTTTAAGATTTTTTAAAAATGTATACAGGGTGTTTCGAAAAATCTGGTCATTGATTAATCACGATCCTGCTTAAAGCGCTTGACGTAAAAAGCTGATTTTTGGAAAACGGATTGACTTTAGGGTCTAAAAACTCTTAATCACGTATATTTTATGTTGTCGTTTTACATATTTTAAAATTTTTTAAAAATTTATACAGGGTGTTTCATAAAATATGACCATTAATGCTTAACGTTTCGGGAACATTTTTTTAATTATTTTGTGTTATTCAAAATACTAGTAAGACAGATAGATATATTAATATTAAGAAATAAACATACATTTGTATATATTTTAACGTAACGTAGGTTTATTAAACAATCTCAATAATATAAAACAAGTCATATACAATATTTAATAAGTTTAAAAAATATCACAAGCTTGTTGCAAACATTACAAATAAAATGTAACTTTTAATACTGTTCTTCTACTTTTCCCAATTCTCCAGTTTTTCCATTCAAAAACACGATATCGCCGGTTTTAAACATTTTCGTAAGGTTTTTCACTCCCACTATACAGGGTAGTCCGTATTCTCTGGCCACGACAGCACCTAAGGAGAAAATGTGTGCATTGTTTTCGAATGAAGAAGAAAAAAACAAGAATTCAATTTGAATTTTACTGTGTACCTATATTGCTGAAACTCCTGAGAGTGATTCTAACAGATGATGAGTTTACAGATGATTACTTTAACGCCACGAAATCACAATAAAAATGTAAAGATAGTATGAACAGAAGACAACGGTCCTATTCCTTCCGGTTCTCTGTTCCTACTGCTCTAGTTTTAGAAATTAATTGTTACGCTCGGTTGGCTAGATCTTGTCAAGCCCACTCGGCACTCGGTGCCCACTGAGCCAGTATACAGGGTTGTTCACCACATACGACACGGAGTATTGTAGCTAAACGATGAGATTTTTACAAATTGTAAGTTTTGGGTTCGATGAAGGACTATTAGAGGTACAATTTAAAAATAATTTTACAAGATACAGAGTGTCCCAAATAAGTAAAAAATATCAAAGTTTTATTTTTTAAATGGAACACCCTGTATATTATTACATTTTTAGTTTCTACGATTAAAATAAAGGTAAATTTGATTAAGATTTATTATACTTACCGTTTTTGAAATATTTTCAATTTTGTGAAATTGCAGTAAAAATTTTAAGGCTTCATTTCTCCAAGGGTATCAAAATTTTTGATACTAAATATTTACTGAAGTTTATTTAGTGATCAGTTATTGTGTAGTAATAATAAAAATAATACTACCTTATACAGAGTGTCTAAAAATTTATTTTAAATAATTATTAGCTTCAAACGGCAATAACTTGTTTAATTTAAATGGAACACCCTGTATATTTTACTAGAATCAGATGCACAATTTAATTGTCTATCAAATTATATTAAACCATTTTTTACCTATCTCTTTAAGTTTCCGTAGAAAATGCATTTTCTTGTAATTTAGAACTTATTTATCAATATACCCATGGACTATTGACATTTTAGGTCATTTTTAAAGATGTACCAAATTTTTAAAGAGTACAGATACTAATATTGTCGATATAATTCGTTTATTTCATTAAAAAATAAAAAAAAAACTGTTTAAATATTTGTTAAAGAGGACCAATTAATATGATGCCGTATTCAAACTACATTAACTGACTGTTTGCGTTGATTAATAATAATTGCTCCAAATACTAAAAAACTGAATTTTGTATGGGCATTAGATAGTGTGATAAAAAGTAACACCTTAAAAATGATATTTCATTTTTTAATAAATGCTTATTTATAACAACAAAGACTTTAATTTGATAACTTATTATTATATTGATTTCTGACTCAAAAATCCACATTTATTTATAATAATTTATTAACGAACACAAATAAGTATGTCATTAATTAGTATATGGGCGGAAATAATGGTGTTATATTTAATTAATGGTATACTCTTTTATAAAGATTTAAATAGTTTTCTTTTTGCATACAAATGGGCTAGTAACAAATGGGCTAGAGTAATATTATCGTTTTGCTAAAAACGATAATATTACTAGTCTGTACATTTTGTCCATTTGTTGCTTTAAAAACAATCTAAAATGTCAATATTCCATGGATATATTGATAAATGAGGTCTAAATTATAAGAAAATGCATTTTCTACGAAAACTTGAAGGGATAGGTAAAAAATGGTATAATACAATTTGATAAACAATTTAATTGTGCATCTGATTCTCCTAAAATATACAGGGCATTCCATTTAAATTAAAGAAGTTGTTGCCGTTTGAAGCTAATAATTATTTAAAATAAATTTGTAGACACTCTGTATAAGGTAGTATTACTTTTATTAATGCAACATAATAACTAATCAATAAATAAACTTCATTTAATATTTAGTATTAAAAACATTGATACCCTTGGAGAAATGAAGCTTTAAAATTTTTACTGCAATTTCACAAAATTGAAAATGTTTCAAAAACGGTAAGGTTTAAGTATAATAAATCTTAATCAAATTTACCTTTATTTTAATCGTAGAAACTAAAAATGTAATAATATACAGGGTGTTCCATTTAAAAAAATACAACTTTGATATTTTTTATTTATTTGGGACACTCTGTATCTTGTAAAAATATTTTTAAATTGTAGCTCTAATAGTCCTTCAACGAACCCCAAACTTACAATTTGTAAAAATCTCATCGTTTAGCTACAATACTCCGTGTCGTATGTGGTGAACAACCCTGTATAAACGCTCAAATTGTAGATATTAGTTTAGTTTTAATCATCTGCCGATGATGCTAACATGGTTCGCGAAACGCGCGCTCAGTGTATAAGTAAAAGTGTTTTGGGGTATTGTGGTGATTTAGTGTTTTATTTTGATGTGTAATACCAAAGGTTCTAACCCCCAACTTTGATATGAGAGCAATGAATGACAATGAGAGTAATGAATGCCATCCCTCAAGTGGCAATGTGCAGGACAGCTGGCAAGAAGGATGGACAACAGATAGACAACAAAAATTACTGTATGGAACCCATGAGGAATTGAGAGACCTAGAAGAAGACCAAATCTAAGATGGGACCATGATATTAGGAACACAACCTAACCGAGAAACGGCTTATTAGATGCGGAAATGTGTTGGTACACGGACGGATCCAAAAACGATAAAGGATCTGGCGCAGGAATTTACTGCAGCACCCCAAAGACTGAGATCTACCACAGTCTTGGAAAACACACCACAATTTTCCAAGCTGAGCTATATGCTGTTGAAACCTGTTTGCAACTGCTGGTAGAACAGCAATACACCGGGAAAACAATAAGCATATTTTTGGATAGTCAAGCCGCGTTGAAAGCACTTGCGGCAACGAAAAGCACGTCTATGACGATTCTTCATTGTAAGAAAGTACTCAATAGATTAGGAGATAGGAACAAAGTATCGCTAATATGCATACCGGGACATGTCGGCCTAGAGGGAAACGAACCCGCTGATTCCCTCGCCAAAACTGGTGCAGGCTCGCCATTCGTGGGCCCAGAACCGACACTTATCGTACCAAAAAACCTCGCAAGAGACAGGCTCTGTGAATGGGTTAGGGTTGCGACGTTTCGGGACTGGTATGACAGTCCCGGACTGGAACATACCAAGACAATCCCTAGCAGGGCCATCCAAACATAGAACAGATGAACTCCTAAAGGCTGGTAGGAACGGAGCGCGTACGCTTTCTGCAGTATGCACGGGCCACTGCCGGCTGAGATCACACCAACAGAGGATGGGACTGGTGGAAGACGCCGAATGCCGACTCTGTATGGAAGATGACGAAACAATGAAGCACGTTATGTGTACCAGGTTTGAGGTGTTTGGCAAACCCCCGCTTGACCTATGAAATCTAGAAGACATATCACCCTCAGACATAACGGCCTATGTTAAAAGGCTGGGACTTGAGGGTGAACTTTAATGCTCTTTTTTTTATTAAAAAGCTTGTAGAAACTGAGCCACAATAGGCCCTCGCGGCCGCAGTGGAGGGTCCCACCTAGGACCCACTCTTAGAAATTTAGAATTTAGAATAAGTGGGAGGGGGTTAATCTCTGCCACCTTAGAGATCTATTGTGTCCCCCTTTCTTGAGTTATAACTAATCATACAGTCCCAGGACTTTCTACGGAGACCCGTGTCCCTCACAGTCGAGGAGCTACGACCCAGGCGGGGTAGACGAAACGGTAGCTTGTGTCGCCTGTTGGGTTTAGAGGTTGGAGGTAGGCTCCCGACCCTTGGAGGAGGTGTTAGCTTGTATGCCACTTGCGGAGGATGGTCTCACGCAAGTGTCAGCCACCTTTCCTGTAGTTCTCTTTGGGTTTGGCCCCTTGGAACTTTCATTGTTACTGTTCCCAGTGTCGCTAGGGGGTTTCACACAGCTTCACCAGTGATGTTTTTATTACTATTATTACCAGATCTCATAGTGTTTCTATGAGTCGCTAGGGACAGTCGGTCCACTTCTACAGAGCCCCGCATGTAGAAGTAAGGGGTAAAATACAATGGGGTGCCCCCCGGTGCCCCCAGGTTGAGGCTGTCCGTAGCCCCGCCCGGTATCGTTATATGTCTTGGTGCAATTCCTTGGCCACGACACTACAGTCGGGGACAAGACGATGAGTAAGATGCTTCTTAGACCAAGCCAAGTGCTAGGGATTCCCCCCAGCACCTGACCAGAGCTTCCCCACCAACGACAAGGTCTTGCATCTCCTAGGGGAAGGACCCACTCTTAGTCAAATACAATTATGAATTAGTCAAATATTTAGTCAAATATAATTATGAATTACGAATATTAGGAAGTGGCAGGGGATAACTTGGAGTACATAGTCAACAATAGACAGCAATGGGCCCAACTACAGAGAATTTAAAATATGTGAGGAAGCTACACCATAATTGGAAATGGTTGAATAAGCTGAAAATGATGATGATGATAGAATTACCTACCGTGTGATACTAGCCCACCTAATTCAGTAACAACACCAGATAGCATGGGAAAATATGGAGACCAACCAATATCTGTAGAGTATGTATCAGTATATCACCTAGTAAAAAAAATCCATTTAAAATCGAATTATTCATCATTATTTCCTTAAAACTGTGGAAAATTAAACAAAAAAAAAATTGGTCAAATGCGAGTCGGACGAAGGGTTCCGTGCCATTCATTATCTATACAATATTAGATACTATATTATTATAAACTTTTTCCGATTTAGCTAAAATTTTGAATGCGCGTATAAGTAATTTTAAAAAAATGAAAAGGTAAATATTTTTATTGATTTTTTGATATTTTTGTATTAATCAATAATAAACATGTAAAAAGTAAAAATAAATATGTAAAATATGTAAAATTTAAACAAAACGATTAAAAAAAAAAGTCGCCTTATTAGGATTCGAGCCTGCCTTACTACGGCTCCAAAGTCATAGTAGCGTAAAGTCCTAACGTTTTAACCATGCGGCCATCCAGGACTTGAAAAGATTCTATGTAAAATTCTTATAAAAAGATAATGTTTAGTGAAAGTACTTTTTTATTTATAAACGTTTATTTAATTCTGTTTTAGTATTTGAGGTTATAGGGGCAACATAGATACACTATCTGTGAAAATTTCAACTGTCTAGCTATAACGGTTCATAAGATAGACTTATTAATAGGGTTCTTAGTAATAGGGTTCCGTTTTACCTTTGGTACGGAACCCTAAAAAAACTCACTACAGACTGAAGAAAAGTATGCAGGGTTGTTTACCACATACGACACGGGTATTGTAGCTAAACGATGAGATTTTACAAACTGTAAGTTTTGGGTTCGATGAAGGACTATTAGAGGTACAATTTAAAAATAATTTTACAAGATACAGAGTGTCCCAAATAAGTAAAAAATATCAAAGTTGTATTTTTTTAAATGGAACACCCTGTATATTATTACATTACAGTTTCTACGATTAAATAAAATAAATTTGATTAAGGTTTATTATACTTAAACCTTACCGTTTTTGAAATATTTTTTCAATTTTGTGAAATTGCAGTAAAAATTTTAAGGCTTCCATTTCTCCAAGAATTATCAAAGTTTTTAATACTACATTACTGAACTTTATTTACTGATCAGTTATGTGTTGCAATAATAAAAATAATACTACCTTATACAGAGTGTCTAAAAATTTATTTTAAATAATTATTAGCTTCAAACGTATGCTTGTTTAATTTAAATGAACACCCTGTATATTTTACGAAAATCATGCACAATTTAATTGTCTATCAAATTATATTATACCATTTTCTCTTTTAAGTTTCCGTAGAAAATGCATTTCTTGTAATTTAGAACTTATTTATCAATATACCCATGGACTATTGACATTTTAGATTATTTTTAAAGATGTACCAAATTTTAAAAGAGTACAAGATACTAATATTGTCGATAATTCGTTTATTTCATTAAAAAATAAAATAAAAACTGTTTAAATATTTGTTAAAGAGGATCAATTAATATGATTCAGTATTCAAACTACATTAACTGACTGTTTGCGTTGAACAATAATAATTGCTCCAAATACTAAAAACTGAATTTTGTATGGGCGTTAGACAGTGTGATAAAAAGTAACACCTTAAAATGATATTTCATTTTTTAATAAATGCGTATTTATAACAACAAGAGACTTTAATTTGTTAACTTATTATTATATTGATTTCAAATCCACATTTATTTATAATAATTTATTAACAAACACAATTAAGTATGTAATTAATTAGTATATGGGCGGAAATAATGGTGTTATATTTAATTAATGGTACTCTTTTATAAAAGATTTAAATAGTTTTTCTTTTTGCATACAAATGGGCTGGTAATATTATCGTTTGCTAAACTGATAATATTACTAGTCTCTTCCCATTTAACACATTTGTTGCTAAAAAACAATCTAAAAATGTCAATATTCCATGGATATATTGATAAATAAAGATCTAAATTTTAGAGAAAATGCATTTTCTACGAAAACTTGAAGGGATAGGTAAAAAATGAGTATAATACAATCTGATAAACAATTTAATTGTGCATCTGATTCTCTAAAATATACAGGAGGGCATTCCATTTAAATTAAAGAAGTTATTGGAGTTGAAGCTAATAGTATTTAAAATAAATTTTCAGACACTCTGTATAAAGGTAGTATTATTTTATTATTGCAACACAATAACTGATCAGTAAATAAACTTCATTAAATATTTAGTATTAAAAACATTGATACCCTTGGAGAAATGAAGCTTTAAAATTTTACTGCAATTTCACAAAATTGAGAAATATTTCAAAACGGTAAGGTTTAAGTATAATAAACCTTAATCAAATTTACCTTTATTTTAATCGTAGAAACTAAAAAATGCAATAATATACAGGGTGTTCCATTTAAAAATACAACTTTTGATATTTTTACTTAAAAAAAAAAAATATCTTAAAAAATATTTTTAAATTGTTGCTCTAATGGTCCTTCAACGAACCCAAAACTTACAATTTAATCTAATCGTTTAGCTACAAATATATCCTCCGTGTCGTATGTGGTGAACAACCCTGTATATGAATATAGTGATAATTTTTACTAAAGTAATATACTGACCTTCATCATTCGTTCAGTAATACTGAATAATTCAGACAGCATCAAGCTCTCGAAAACTGTCAAGATTTAATCTTTTCTAATAAGCAAGAGCAAGATGACACATATTTGTAATCAAATTGGGACACTCTGTACAACGGATAGCACCAAATAATACAGGATGTAACAAAAACTCACAGTTTAGAATAAAATTACTTCTTTTCTGGAATTACCTTTTTGTAACTGGCCAATTTCATCCAAGTGTGTGATGACGCAGGCCCTCGCTTGGACGTTGCCCATACATGCAGTGGTACCAACGCATTTGGTGCCAGACTTCAACTCGATGGGTATATCGATTTCGTTGATCGGCTGTGGAACACCGTAAATCACTTCTGGGAACTTCAGTTCGGTCCATTTAGGGTACAACCTTTGCCGTTGGATTGCTCTGAGAAAAAAAAGGAAAAAATTTTTTTTTTTTTTTTTTTTAAACAGTTACGTCTACAAGAAATCGTACCACAGAACGTCAACGATTTCTTGTAGACGTATCTATTTAAAACAGGTGTTCTCGAATAGTTCAATTTAAATATCTTAAATAGTTTTTTTCTTGATTCTTTATATTTTTTTGCTTCCGACGACGGAAGAAAACTTTCGAAACGTTAAGCATTTTTTTTTCTTTGTTAGGCAAATTTTTTATTACTGTAAACACAACTCCTGACAAGCAGCGTCCGTTTAGGTTTAACGCAGAAGTGTTTACAAAAAATAACTATTTTATTTTGTAGATTTTTCTTGCAGTGCAGTGGCGAAAAACCCGCCAGGATTTTTTGGATAAAAAAAGGACTTTTATTAATGCAATGTTAAAAATATTGTTTCTAATCTATACTAATATATAAAATCCTAAAGTGACTGATTAATCACGATCCATAGCAAACCACTCAACGTAGAAGCTCCAATTTTGGCATACAGGTTGATTCACAGGGTGTAGAGGTTCGATAAGAAGGATTTTTCGAAATTCCAGTTCCAAGTTTAGATGTCTTTGGGTGAAACCACCCCTCCAAATATTACAACATTTTTTTTTTATTTATAAAACGGTCAAGTTTTCGAAAAACGCTTAAACACGTATATTTTATTTTGTTTTTTTACATATTTAAGATTTGCAAAATTTATACAGAGTGTTTTCATAAAAATATGACCATTAGTAACCACGATTCTGCTTATTCAGCTTGACGTTTAAAGCTGATTTTTGGCAAACAGTTGGCTGTGGGGTGTAGGGTTCGATAAGGAGGGTTTTTTTGAATCTCAAATTCCAAGAGGGGTGAAAACGCCCCTCAAATAATTACAATCCCAAGTAGCAAAAGAAATTCTAAAGAGTTGAATATTTTATAACAGTCGAATAGCGTTGTCTTTAGGACTGCTTGATTTTATTAAGCGTTTGGTTTCGACCATTCTGTTTTTAATTAAAGTTGTCATAATTAAACTATTTTTCCTGAAGTAAAAAAGAAGTAGAAAAAAGACTCAAAGTCTCGGTATGCCTTATATGATAAAATTGTGATTAACAAAATAAATTCGCTGTAATATCTGCATTATAAAACTGGTAATTTATAATATAACCTCTTTTAAATTAAATGGTATGCGTAGTTATTTATTTTGTTATTGTTGTTGTTGTAAAAGTAATATCTACGTACTAGTATAATCAATCACAGCTATTATGAATTCTGGACAAAGTTGGAAAAAGTTAACAAACGCAGTGGTAGTTATAAAGGGCATGTCAGAAAAAACTCCTCGAAAGTACGGTAAATAATCCCCAGACTTCCCTGGGTTCTCAAAAGCCAAAATCTCTCAGGTTGTCTGGTTTCTTCAAAGCATTGTTGCCACGTTGATGTTAAAGTTTTACTGTAGTAATGTTTGTATTGTTTTATTGTTGTTTGCATGCAATGCATGAAATGCATTGCGTGCACGAATCCATGAAAATCTGATCATGTTTGTTAGTTTAAATACTAATCAAATGTGATTTGGCAACATCTATTTGTCACAAATCTCAATATGTCCAAAATAGTTCTATAGTGCCTGGAAATTCTGCGTAATGATAGATATTTATCCTATACCGTTTTATTTTACAACAGACTTATTTAAGGGATTCATTGTGTGTAATAAAATGGTTGCATTATAATTCGCCATGTTTAAGACAAAAATTTTGTATGGCCTATGGCCGCCATTATATGAAGCAAAATTAAAAACATCAGAATAAATTGTAAAATGTTATTTTTGAAATTTATTTTGTGATAAGATTCCCACAGACAGTAAGAAAGCGGTTAATTAAATTAAAAACAAAAATTTTTGAAAATTTTATTTTATTTTATTGTTTAAATTTATACGTAAACCTTAATCGAAATTAAAGCGCTTTAATTTTGCCAAATACATACTATAATCTACCAGTAAAATTTTCTGCGCAACAAAAATTGTCTACTTTTCAAACCCTATTAATGATTTTTATATTACATATTTGTTGTACCTTCTGGCTCTACCCGCCATTTTCATTGTCAAGTTAAGTCTCCTTTTAACAATCCACATCCTCTAGATTCATTTTACGATACGCTTAAAATATAATTTGCTCCTAATATTCTTCGGTAAAAATAATATACTCTTTTTACCTCGCTAAATGATCAAATATTTTTATTGTTCTGTTTTGCTTAAGATGTGACCCATTATGCACATCAAAACAAGTTTTATAATAGTTATATAACGCTTTGTAAAATAGTTGCATAAAAGTTGTATACCCTTTTTACTAAAACTTTATACTACTAAACAGTTTGTATAAAAATGGGCCTTTTGGTTGTAAAACTGTCATATTACAGTCTTCATAATGCGTTATGATAATTGAGACTCTATAAAATTCATCATAGCTGTTTACTTCTGGCCTTATCAAATAAAATTTGCTACTTGGGATATTTAAACAGTTAGTCTTTCAGTAACTTAACTTGGACAAGTATAATTTATTTTGTTTTTTATATTCAAAATAAAAAAATCTTGGGTGTTCCTAAAAGTGGGGTAGTTGATTAACCACGATTCTGCTTAACTGCTTGACATAAAACGCTTATTTTTGGCAAACGGATTTTCAAAAGTCCAAAG